GTTGCAAAATGGAAGCTTATCACAATTGCTATTCTTGGCTGACTCGATCAGAAGAAGGCAATCTAGTGTCTTCCAGATGTTTTATAATACCCATCTCACAAATCATTGCAATTGGCTATGCTAGATGGTACCACTGGGAATTGAAGTTCAAAGCATCTGGAAGATACTTTGTCCTTGCCCTGGCCTAGCAAATTCAACTCTATCCTTTTTTATTGAGGAAGCATCTTCAATGTGCCTGGAAGTTTTCTGTTAATTCTATGTTTTAAGAGGTCATTCTGAATATTTATTGAGCTAAAAAGATACACAAGGCACAAAGAAGGAAGTATCAGCAGGACAGAATTTACTAAGAAATAAAGTAATGAAAGAAAATAAGCTATAGATGAAGGGATTTATTTATTAAATTTATTTGCTGCCCATCTCCCCAAGGCAACTCTTTTATTATTTTTATTAATGAAGTTTAACACACACAAAAATTACAAGAAATGACTTTACAGCCATATATTCTAGCACTAAAAACTGAAAGGATGGAAACTGGATAATAAAAAAAAAATAAAGATCCATATAAGATTAGTTTAATCCTCAAATTTATAATTAATTTGAGAAAAGATTAAAAAAAAATATTGCTCCAACTTCTCATTTTCGCCCTATAGAAATTTCAAATATCATAACAAACATAACTTGAATCCATTCCTTTACATTTTTTGGAGAAAGTATATTTCCATTCAGATAAAATTCTTCTCTTTGCTGATGAGGAGCCTCCTACTTTGTAGATGAGGGGCTGAAAATACTGAAAATAAAATGACCTTGGTTGTTGATAGCAATAGCATTTAGGCTTACAGTATATACCACTTCACAGTGCTTTTTACAGTGCTCTCTAAGTGGTTTACAGTGTCAGCATATTGCGCCCAACAATCTGGGTCCTCATTTTACCCACCTTGGAAGGATGGAAGGATGGGTCAACCTTGAACCTTGTGAGATTCAATCTGCCGATCTGATAACTGGATTAATAATAATAATATCCCAGTGAGGCGCTACCTTGGTATGGCTGTGGGGCTCAGACAAAAATGAGAATTATACCAGAAGTTCAAACATTCTGGACAGGTCTCGTCATGGGAATCAGACAAAGAGTGTCCCTCCCATAAGCAATGTGTCAAGATGTAATTTACACAAACCCATACTGGATCAGTCATTCCTCAATGTTAGGTGGTGGAGTACCTGAACATCTGGTGACAAATTTCCTGACTACACAGAAAATTTTTCAAGACTTTGACTGAGCAAGCAGGGCCAGCAGTGGTAGAACTACTAGAAGAAAGGTGTTTACCCATCACAAAGATTAAAAACAAAGAAATAGTGGTCTGTTTTTACAAAACAAATCCACAAAAAAGAGCATATCTGAAAAAATACACCGGTTCTGAAAAAAAAAAAAGAATCCGAAATAACAAAGAAGGAACAGTGCACTTCTGGACACAGCTATGAGACAACCCAAAGAAATATAAGAATGCAGTTTGGATAAAGGAGGTGTAAAGAATAAAAAAAAGAAGCTGAAATGAAATAAACTGCAATAATAGCAGAAATGTGGAGAAAAGGGTAAGGACTGATCAGTCCCACTAAAACTTAAGTTCATGATTTTTCGTCAAAATGCATGGCTGGTCTACACCTACTCATTGCCAAGCAGTTTAACAACATACTGCAAGGAGGCGAAATTGAAGATTAGTTGACATCCAGTAAAAATCAATCTGATAATGAAAGAGCCAGAAAAAGGGGCAGCACCAGGCAATTACAGACCAATTGCTTTGTACCAACAACTTTCAAATTGCTAACTGGTATAGCTAAAGATCAGCTCCTAATTGACAAGATGAGCTGAAAAAACTGCAGTAGAAAGACGATCAACTTAATGTAGGTTGGATTGATTACAAGAAGGCATTCGACTCCTTGCCACATGGTTGGATAATCAAATGCCTAGAAATAACAAGAGTCAGTAGAAACATTAAAAGATTTCTGCAAAGATCAATGGCACACTGGAAGACACAATTGAAAATTTAAAAAATCAAGATGGCCTATAGAAATAACATCAAGAGTCTAGATCAGGGGTGTCAAACTTGTATCGTCACGGCAGCGTCACATAACGTATCATGACTTTTTCCCCCTTTGCTAAACCAGGTATGGGCGTGACGATTGCTTGTGATGAGGCTTGTGATCTAGATCAAGTCCTTTGGTGCAACTTAATCCTTCTTACTTTATTTAGACTAAACAGGAGGAGATCTGATTAGTATATGAAAGTCTTAACCTAAGATTTCAGTACTATAGAATACTCCATAGCAATGTAAAGTAGACAGACTCAGGGGATTTTTCAGTACATACAATAAGATCAACCCTTGTTTTTATATCCAGTTCTTTTTCAAGGTACAGTTCTTTACGATATTTGGATTTCTTTATTTATTTATTTTACCAATGCACCAAAAATACTTGGCTTTTTGAAGATCTGGGAAATCAATGCCATTGTAAAAAATTGCTATTGTTTCTGGTATGGTAGTGCAAGCAGCTGAATTGATAACTCAGCTGTTTACTCAGTAAACTCATGGGATAGGTTATGAATGTTTAGTGTAAGATATACGGTGGAAAAAAATATGATCACTATCACAGACATTGTCTTAAAAAATCCTTCTTGATTGACAGCTAAATGCACAGCTCAGCTGAGCTTTGTCTGAAATCTTGGCTTACAATTACTGTATCATTTTGAGATACGGGCAGGGTGGATATTTCACAGAGGCCATGCAAATCTGCTTACGCTACTGCTTGCCTTGAGAATCTCTAATAAGAATTGATGTTGTGTGTCATTTGTCATTTAATCAACAGCATCACATCTTGATCTTCAAATGGGCATCTGAACTATTTTTTTCAGTGCCGAGAAAAAAAAATTAATATGCATTGCAGATCTGCGCAAGCTGAGAAGCTGGAAATACAGAGAATGAATGGCTCTGTAGTAAGCAACTTTTTTTGCAGACCTGAATCCCTATTGAGGATGACAAACAGTCTAGTCCTTCTCATCATTTGCAACCTATGTTCTTCATGTGTTAAGAAAGTCTCTGGACCTGGGTCAGTGGTGGGTTCTGGATCGCAATGGGGTCTGGCATCCTCTACATGAACACGCACGGTGCATGCGCACACATGCACAGCACATGCATGTGTCTCACCTTCCAGCGCCATCTCCGCAAGCCTCCGGAATGCTCCAGCTGCTCAGAAGTGGAAGTTTGTGTTTGTGTTATTGGTCCCCTTTAGGAAAAAATAAATAAATATCATTTGTAATAGTTTCAGCTATCAACACTTGAAACCCAGAGAAAAGCATTTTGATCCTGAACAATATATTTTAAGTTCACATTTTAATTAAAAGTAGCAAAATAACATGGATGGGAAGGTCTCGGTTACGAATATTGGAACAGTGAACCATTTGGATAAATTGACATGGAGACATGGATTTAATGTAAATTCAAACACAGAATAAACGTAACTTCCTCTGGACTCAGTCAATGTTCTCAGTTTGGGACTTTGCACCACAATCCTGACTCAGGATACCATGTAAACAGGGCTTTAATTTGTATGGAAGAAACAGTGTGGAAGGAGTTGGAAGCAACCTATAAACTGACCAAGACACCATAAGTTTTATCATCCATATCCTAACCACAAATTCTTACATTAAACATCTATTTAATGAGCCACCGTGGTACAGTGGTTAGAGTGCAGTACTACAGGCTACTTCTGCTGATCACAGGCTGCCAGCAGTTTGGCAGATCAAATCTCACCAGGCTCAAGGTTGACTCAGCCTTCCATCCTTCTGAGGTGGGTAAAAAGAGGACCCAGGTTGTTGGGAGCAATATGCTGACTCTGTAAACCACTTAGAGAGGACTGTAAAGCACTATGAAGTGGTATATAAGTCTAAGTTCTAGTGCTAGTATTTATAACTAAGAAAATACTTGTTGCATATGATATTTGTCAATTATGCTCCTGACCGCTCTGATCAATACTTATTACAAATTTTCTTTACCTGGCAAGAAGTTTATAAATAGAATCACTACATACAAATGCTCTGTTAGGAATATATTAGCCATGTTGGCTATCACAAAAACATGAAATGGGCAATTAAATATTGATGGGAAATAATTTATGCTAGAGGTCACACCAGTAGTCAGAAATGAACAAAAAGAAATACTAGAAAATGTTAAGGCAAAAATGCTGGTAAGAAAAATAAATATTTTGAAAGTGGGTAAAAAGCTTTTGGCATCTAACAAACATTGTTGTTACTAATCCTGACTATAAATATAGTGTATTTTTAACCTTATATTTTTTGTTGAAAGGCTTTTTTTGCTTTAAAAAAAGGGCCTAGTGTCTAAGAAAAAGAATGGATAGATTTTCTGTCTCATTCCCAATCATGGGTGCCAGTTAGCAGGGGAACTTCAATGTAATATTATTAGAACTTTTTTTTTACAGTCTTGAGTTATAATTAAAATTTGTTATGTATGGGCATAACTAAAATTCAATCATTTCACACTCTTCAGTCCAAGCCTCAGGATATTTTGGGGGTAAATAGATTGCTTGGAAACAGCTAGTGACTACAGCTAAAATTACATTTTACCAACTGAGCGGAATGGCTTTTTAATTACAGCACTGATGTCCACATGCTGTCACCACCATCTAATACTGAGATGGTATTGATTTGATTTTTAACTTTGATGCACCAAGCAGGAGAAAAATGCAGAGTAGGACTCCTTCCCCCACCCCCATTCTGCAATCCCATTTCCAAAGTAAATAAAGGAATGCTGATATTAAACTCTTGGAAGAACTTTTTTGTTCATATGCTGTACACTGTTTTTTAAAGGTACTGGGATAAATTGATTCAATTCCAATACTTAATAAGAGGCCCCAAAACAAAGCAGTAGGTGAAACTAATAGCTCCTTGAATAAACTGTATTAATCATTGAAACTTTAATGTTGAGTCAGCCACTATGATAAACGCTCATTCAACATCTTCCAGTGGACATTGGCTTCTCAAATCACTTGGATATAGTAGCATCATGTCTGACTTATCCAGTAAAGCTGACCTGGAAATCAGTTCCACAGGTGAGCTAAAACAACTTTATTGAGAATAGCTATAATAACAGAATCCTACAGAATCCTGATTATGTTGTAACTACACCCTGCCCTTCTTATATGTCAGTGAATTAAAGAGGTCCCTGTCTGAACCTCATCCATATATTTTCTGTTGGTTGTGGACTTAAGATATATTTCCCCTTTGATAATGGAGCTTGCATATCTCCATCAAGGCAATCTTCCTTAGTTTCTACTCACCACTAAATTGATCGCTGGTCTTCTGGGGGAAGCATCATTAGAATTCTATCTTAGGTGTGAAATCATCTACATCTGAGCAAAAATTATTCTCCTACCAAAGTTGTAGTACAGTACATCTAAAATGATGCAAATTGGGGATAATGCAATAAGCAGGACAAGATTAACTATAGCTATGGCTGATCTCAAAAATTAAAAAATTATTTTTTCTTAAAAATAGCAATAGAACTTCATAGATATACTTCAAGTGCTTCACAGCTCTCTAAGCATTTTACAGAGTCAGCATATTGACCCCAACAATCTGGATCCTCATTTTACCAACCTTGGAAGGATAGAAGGCTGAGTCAACTTTGAGCCAGTGGGAATCAAACTGCCAAACTGCTGGCAGCCGGCAATCAGCAGACATTGCTTGCAATACTGCATTCTAATCACTGTGCTATACCAGCGTTAAATAAGGTTACTTGGATCTGAAGCAACAAGAAATCCAAGAACTGTCAACTAGAGAAGGATGTTGAAAAAAATAATCCTAGAAGAAAGCACAATATAGATGGGTTGAGGAAATCTCAAAGAGCAGAACTTGAGGAAGATTTTTTTCAATATTCAATAACAGATTTTTAATAAATCTTTATTTAACCTGTTCAGTTAAAAAAAAACAAAAAACAAATATCTGTTTTTTTTTTCTCTTCAGAATGACTGAATATGATTCTATATAGTAGCCCCTATAGGACAACAGTTAGAATTGTGAACTTTGTCAAAAGCAATTGTAGCTATATTGGCTGTGATGAAAAGATATCCAAAATCCATAGAAATGCTTAGTTGTAAGGGAGAGTAGTTTTTTTCCCTAAATAATTTAAGTAAGATATTAAGTAAGTAATATGTTTGTTTTAGAAAATATAGTGTAAGAGTTAGTTCCCCAAAGTCTGTGAAAAACAATGTGACAGCAAATCAACCTCTGAAAAAGAGGGACAGATGGAAACTAGCCCTCCTCAACAAAAGAGGGAGACAGACGTGCCATTATATATGGCAGAAAAGAAATGCAAAAAATTAAAATAGTGTCTCCACATTCAGATCTTGCTTTTGAAGCACAGCAGACACCAGAATTATTTCATTTTGGCTTCTTAACTTCCCTCAATAAAGATCTATCAGGTGTTTTTGATTCATTGGTGATTGTTTCCATGTCCTGATTGTTGAGTAAAATGTGTCACATAATGATGGAGGTAAGTAATATTAACATTTTGTCATGTTTAATCTTCCCCACTGGGGGATGGACTCCTCTGAATTCAGAATCATCGGAATGTGCACATTTATTAGACCATCAAAAGTTTTACAAAATAGCCTCAGCTTTTGACTTACTTAGAAGATGCCAAGATGGTGAGAAGCAGAACAAATTATGGGAAATGTGAACAATATTCAAACTCTGTCTGTTCCGGTTTATATTCCTAAAATCTATCTGCAGGTTCCAGGTGTATGTATTTCCATTAGAGGTAAGCAGCCATTTTTAAAAAACAAAGTTTTTTAAATTTTTATTCTCTTATATATAGTTACACATATACATTCACATCATTATTGTTCTTATTTATTTTTATCACTTTTACATATTTGTTTTTCCATCATAAAAGTTAAAATATACATTCTGGGTTGTTTTGCTTAGCATCACATACACCTATTTTGTATTATCACCCCCTTATTTTTCCTTTTCTTTTCACCCTCCCTCCCATCTCTACTTTATTCCTGCCTCCTCTCCTTTCCCTTTCCTTCTTCTCTTGCCTCTCCCCTTCTCCTCTCTTCCTCTCCCCCTCCACCCTCTCTCCTTCTCTTTCTGTCCTTTCCCTCCTTCCTCTCCTTTCCTCTTTCTTCCTTCTCTCCCCTTTCCTTTCTTCTCCTCTCCTAGAGGTAAGCAAGAATTTTTGAAGGGCAGTAACAAATGACATTTGCTGGAAAAGGAAAAGGGAAGGGAGGGAGAGAGGGAGGAAGAAAGGAAGGAAGAAAGGAAGAAAGGAAGAAAGGAAGAAAGGAAGAAAGGAAGAAGGGAAGAAAGGAAGAAGGGAAGAAAGGAAGAAAGGAAGGAAATAAGTTTTTGTATATATATCTTCAAGTCACTATTGACTCCTAGATCACTTTTTTTTCTACTTTTGAAAGTCTTTTGCTGTATTTATGGCTTAGGCACTGCTGCCCTGTTTACTTTCTGCTCTATATTTTTATGCTAGGCCATTCTCTGTAGTTTTGCTACTGCATAGCAGAGGAAATGCCCCTTCAACTCATTTTCCACAGTATATTATGCTATCTATTTCTAGGCTGAGATTTTTTATTTTTAGAAAAAAATATATGACTTATCCACACATTTTATTTGTTGGTTTGTTACATTTATATGCCGTCCCTCTTGCAGTTCGAGACAACTCTGAGCAGATGTATGTATGATATGTTACATTCAGGATGTAATAATATTTATCAGGGAGATGAAAAGGATCTGAAGCTCAAAATCTTTTTAGAAGCACTTCTCAGGTAGATAGGGAAAAAAGCTAACTGAAGAAAATAGTAATTGAAAACAAATTTGCTGGGTTTTGATCCAGGTGCTTTTTAATATCTTTGCCAAAGCAATTTGCCCTTGTGATATTTCAAAGTGATGGAAAAGGAAAAATCTTAGAAACTCTGCGAGTAGAGGGCAACTGTTGTCTCAAGGGAAGAGGTGTTTCTTTGTTTGTGAAGCAGCTAAATGAACAGCAGGGTGTAGCCAATAAGGCACTAAAGTGATGCAGCTCAAATGGACATAAGAAGAAAAGCCTGTCTTTTAAAGCTCAGAAAGGAAAACTCACCTGGAGGTCAAACATACAATGGGAGGGAAGTTAGTAAAGGCTGGTGCCGTCTGTTTTTGACCCCAAAAAATAGTGATTTCACAATGGAGCAACAAGACAGTGCCGAGAAGTCGGAGCATGACATTTTACATCTAGCCATGTAAAAGGTGGGAGACATTTTAAAGCCCTTAAAACATTTCTTACTTCATAGTCAGTACATGACTATGGCAAATAATTGAGCTTAGGATTTACACAGTGCTTTCGACTATTCAACACACTCTATTTTATAGTAATCTTTATAACAACCCAACAGATGTGTCCAGTAATAGCATGGGATGGGGAAAAGGGTGAGGCTAAAAGGGTGTATCTTATCAAAGTTGTATCTAAGTCAACTTTGGGCAGATGTAAGCTAGCAAACTGCAAAATGTGCCCCAAACTATCTCCTGTTTATTTCTACTAATCTTTTACTACTACTAATCAAACACTATTTGTTTGTGTATTGGGGAAGGGAGACCCTAGAGAGCAATATTTAGAATAGAGTAGAGTAGAGTAGAGTAGAGTAGAGTAGAATAGAATAGAATAGAATAGAATAGAATAGAATAGAATAGAATAGAATAGAATAGAATAGAATAGAATAGAATAGAATAGAATAGAATAGAATAGAATAGAATAGAATAGAATAGAATAGAATTATTTATTGGCCAAGTGTGATTGAACACACAAGGAATTTATCTTTGGTGCATAAACTCTCAGTGTACATATAAATGATAAATCATGTTCATATTCCATGTTCCAATGTAAACTGTACTTCCTATCATCAGAGTCTATGAAAAGGTATTCTAAAAAAATAAGCATTTTAGCTCTTCGTTTCAAACCTGCCTATCTGACAGATAAAAAAACAAATAAATAAAGTATACTATGGTGATAGAAAGAACTTGGGAACCTAAAAGCATGATGCAAGAAAACCTCCCCAGGTTATATTTTTGTAAATGAGTATGTTATGACTGCCCGTGCCCATCATGGCAGCCACCATATGAATGTGCAAGCCTCTTCATGGCAGCCATCTTGTGACTCACACATACCCAAAGTGGTCTCAATATTGCTTCCTTCTGATAAAGGCCTGATTGAAGAAAGCATTTCCTATTCCATAGCTGTATTTCTAGAAATTACGGTGGATTTTATTAAAACCTTTCAAGTTCAAAGAAACAGGATCATTCATGTAGATTGCAACATAAACAATTTATTGAAGCCTATGCATAAGAATCTGGTCAACTGACAGTCAGCACTAAATTGTTGCTAGATAAAGGTCAACAAATTCAGGGGGGGCTGGACTTGTGGCAATGCAGAGACTCTAAACTGATGGCATGCTTTACTCCACCATCCAGCTCTCCTTGCTCATCTACAAAACATTTTGGTTCAATCTATATTCTGCAAATCAGTCTAGAATTCTTTATTCTACAAGAAATTAATTCAAACACAGTCTAAAAAGGCATTCATTCAGTGAAGGGGCATTTGCAGCTCAAGGAGGAGGAGCGTGATGATTTAAAATGTAATAGCACTTTTCTATATGACATTATTTTTAAAAAGTTCTCTGGTGTCTAATGAGATTTATTCAGTAGTACATGTATTGGGACTCTACCCACTGTGCCGAGGTGGCACAGTGGGTAGAGTGTAGTACTGCAGGCCACTTCAGCTGACTGNGTCCCTCTTTTCCAATCTGAAAATCTGGTCACCTTACTTTCTCCTGATTTTTTCCCCAGAACACCTCAACTTAAATTCATGATTACTAGGCCTGAGTTTTACTTTTTTATAACTTGCAGTACCTTATTTTAAATTATATTCTACTCTAACTGCACAGAATGCAGCTGAAATGTAGAGGTTATTTACTAATAGAAAATATAATTATTTCTCTGTTCTAACAAGTGTGGTTTAGTCCATGATTTGGAATAAGGAATGGATGCTGTAGTTTGTCCCTTCTCTCCT